ACAACAAGGGCCTCAGAACAACGATGCCGGCGACAGGCACGGCGGCAAAGACAAACAATGCAAACAACAGCAGTGCTTCGTCATCTGCACATGCACTACATGTTTGCTGAGTTGCTTCCATACACTCTGAAGTAACCGAAATCCAACTCCAAGCAACCCTTAATTTCCAAACCCCCCAAGAAACAAAAAACCGAAGGCACTGCTCAGTTAGACTCGCAAGGGACCTCGGCCGCCGGCAGGGTGCTGGCATGCCGGTGAGGCCTTGCACGTTTTCCGTTCATGCCGAATGCTTTTTTTTCGGTTTTGCGGGCTTGTGTTCTGGGGCATTCTGGGGAGTTCAAGAATTCCAAGAGGCTTGTAAATTAGGGGATTTTTTTTACAGCAACGCAGAAAATGAGATTTATCTGTCCGAATGCATCTATTTACCCGCGTCGTTCTGAGGTTTATATTTTTGTGTTAGGCTCTTCCGCTGCGCCCCCACCACCTGTGCACCGCACACAACGCGCCACCCACAGCACCCACACACAACACACACACACAGAGACACAGGCGCACAGACAGAGAGACAGGGCCTATTCAACAGACTATCACGAGGCTGAACAAGCAATTGAGTCGTGAACTAGGCTTTCGCTCGAGCACCGTATCAGACAACCATCAAGTCATCTTCTCAGCCCAGAAAAGCCGAAACTTGTAACGGCTCTGATCTGAACCTCCAACACGAAAGTTCCGGGGCTCAGTTCCGGGGTACGCTGGCACTCGTTCGAGGCTTCATCCAACAACAACCTATGATCCCCTCATTGAGCCCATAAGCTTTCAAGCTCCCAGCGTAGCAGTCACAACTACTTCGTCGGCGTCGTCATCGTTATGACTGGCGTTACCACTGCCATGATCAGCAAGCATGACATATTACGGCTGCAAGGGCACCTGTACCCTACCTGCAGAAGCCATGCACTTTAGCTGCGATCTTCGCTTTAAAGCGCCATTCCGAAGCCCTCTTCAGGCGTGTGCAGTCCATGCCCGCCGGTCCGGAGCGCCTGCCACGAAGGCCTCCGCCCCAGCCAAGACGGCACCAAGCGAGTGGCTCGCAAGCACTGCGAAGAGCATCGTCTGAAGCACTGCCTTGGGCGACAGGATGGCTATGAAGACAATGCTGCTCCCCGAAGTAGTGGTATTGACGATACACTCAGAATAGGCATCACACCATCAAGGCTGACGGCTATCATGGTCGCTAGTGATGACCTCAGTATCATCATGAGACAGCTGAAACTGGCTGAAAGAGAGCAGCAACAGCAGCAAAGCATGGCAAGCATGCATTGTGTAGGAGTCAGGGAGCGTGTACGCTGATCTCTACGCTAAATTCCTTCAGGCAGCGAAAGCGGAAGTCCCAAGAGCGAAAAATTACACACACACACACACACACACCCTTGGAGCTCACAAACTCAGCGCGCCCGTTCTTGAGCCGTGGCCTGGCCGCCTGGTTCACTGGTTATCACTGGTTCACTTATGCTACCCACTGCCCCCAACCTCCAACCTCCGTTAGCCCTGCAACTCGCAAACAGCTTACAACAGTCTCTCGCTGAAAAAGTGTCCGGAATCTGTTAAGCATCTTTGCAATAAATCGCACTTCCAAAAAGCAAAACACATCATTCTAAATGCCAGGGCTTCCAGAACCTCGCAAGAACCGCCGGAGACGCGCTCAACCGTAGGCGCCAGGCCCCGGCAGAGCAGGCACGTAAAGTCGCGCCGCCCGGCCCGAGACCGAAACCCTGCGACATCTTGCACGTCTGAAAAGTTTGTAGCGCAAAAGAAGACTTGCAGAAGTAAGCTGTGAGAGTTGTGGCTGGACGGTGAGCATGATTACATCACATGCTTGAAACACCTGCGACACATGAAGTACTTGTGAACATCGCAAATGGTTCCAGGTAGGTTCCGACTCCGGCTATTCAGCGAAGTACGGCCGTGGACTCTCGTCATGATATTCGTTATCAGGTAGCTATCGCAACAACCATTTTCCTATCCTTCCTTACCGCTTTCATGACCGTTGTGTCGCGATCAAGTTTCCCGCTATAATCAAATGTTCTTTGTCCTAGCCGTTATGATGTGGGCGTTGTCGTTGTCTGTAACTACACATCAGATTTGGGATGGTGCGTTAACGTCACTAAATGTTTTCAGTTTTTTGAGTCTCTATGATACTCTGGGTTCGAGACCCAAGCTTGTGGTGTTGGGAAGTGAGCAGTAGTTCTATGATCGTACGTCTTAAAACCGCATCGTGGCTAATGCGAGAGGTGCTCCTGGATTGTGGCAGCCGCTGGTCTGGCGCTGCAGCAAATTATGAAGTGGCAGGAATCTCTGCTTTTTCATCGTATTTACCTAGCAGCGAGCTTCCTGCAGTCGGGCCTGAGGGAGAAGCGACGAGATCAGATCATGTGGCAAAGACGCCAAGAGAGGCAAATGCCTTGGGACGGGGTTCAGGGGACTTGGCATGTGTGCGTGTGTGTGAGTTTCGTGCAGTTCGCCTTGGCTTACCTAATGGTTCCGCAGGTCACTACCACTACCGGTGCCTGGGCCACGGCCGCTGCCACTGATCTACTCGTGTTACTTTGGTTCTATTAATACTACGGCTACTCCTGGTACTGGCACTGGGCACCCCCCTACCAACTACACTTGCTGAACAGTTTCTTGACAGCAAAGCCGGTTTTGTCTGCATTCATGTACTAGTAGCAATAGGAGTAGTGGTAATGGTCGTACCCACAAATCAAGAAGCAATAATTCATGCAGCTAGTAGAAAGTGAATGTAGTTAGCCGATACAACTTATCACCAGTAGCAATTGCGCTATTAAGTAACAGTAGCCACCACCACTACCACTGCTACGACGACAAGTGCTACTACATCTCTTCCTACTACTGCAACTACTACTACTACTACTACTGCTGCTGCTACTACTACTAGTACTAGTACTAGTACTAGTACTAGTACTAGTACTAGTACTAGTACTAGTACTACTAGTACTACTAGTACTACTAGTACTACTAGTACTACTAGTACTACTACTACTACTACTACTACTACTACTACTACTACTACTCCTGCTGCTGCTGCTGCTACCACTACTACTACTACTACTACTACTACTACTACTACTACTACGACTACTACGACTACTACTACTACTACTTCCTACTACTCCTACTACTCCTACTACTCCTACTACTCCTCCTACTCCTCCTCCTCCTCCTCCTCCTACTCCTACTCCTACTCCTACTCCTACTCCTACTCCTACTACTACTACTACTACTGCTACTACGACTACGACTACTACTACTACTACTGCTACTGCTACTACGACTACGACTACGACTACGACTGCTACTACTACTACTACTACTACTACTACTACTACTACTACTACTACTACTACTACGGTGACGACTAACAACTACAGCTGCAACTACTACTGTGTCGAAGCGCGAACGAATCCATTCGTCCGGGCGTAGCCTTCTTATTGGCGTGAGGCCGGCCTTCCACTTGGACAGCTGCAGCCCATCTGTGATGCTACAGGAACACAGCATAGCTGTATCATTCACAGACACAGTGGCATCGAATGCACCCGGCCGATGCCCCCTCAAGCAGTGCATCTAAGTCAAGTCAATATGCATGTGTAGAACTCCTGTGCAAACAGCAGCTTGACACATACCGCCGTTCACGATGATGCAACTTGAACGGTAATTACTCTGGACTCTGGAAAATCATCATCGACTCCCGAATGGAGGAGCATGAGTACTACAGTCCTGATCCGACTCCTGCTCCTGCTCCGGCTCCTGCTCCTCCTCGTCCTCCTCCGTCTCTTACTACTTCTACCACTACCACTACCGCCACTAATACTGATTACTGCTGCTCCTACTGCTACTACTCCGACTCCGATTCCTGCTCGAGCTCCTACTACTACTACTACTACTACTACTACTACTACTACTACTACTACTACTGCCACCAACTTGACGACTCCTGCTACTGCTTGGTACCACCACTACTATCTCTGCAAAAACGATTCGCTTCGGTGCCAGTCCTAAGTCCTGCCCCGAAGAACCTTGTGGCAGCTGACTGAGTTCACATTCATGCAAGTCACTCCATCATCGTGTGGCCGCTGTTCAATGCGCCGCCTGTTGTGACTCGGTCATGGCAATCAAGACTTTGGGGCATGTGGTGCGTAGTACTTTTAGACTAGGCTTTTCAGTGAATCAAAGTCCCAGACTGGTTTGCAAACTGATTCGGATACTTTGACGCTCGGAGGGGCAAGAATCGTCCTGTAAGCTTGGTTCTCCCGAGGGAGCGGCTGGCTATCGAGGGCTTGCACGGCGAAAACTGCGCGGGCCGTCATGTTGACGACCCGGAAACAAAACGGCGGTATCAAGTGTGCACAACAAGCAGTCATAGGACCGCAGTACAAGCAAAAGTGGCTATGTAACTGGCTGCCCAAACATGCTTGCGAACCACGCTTCTTCACTAGCATCATGCAAGGCGTCCGTGGCTTGTGCCTCGCCGACTCCCACCGTCGCCGCGCAAGGCACCGGAAGCCTCAGCTGGGCTTCGGCTGCTGACAGGACAAAGGTTTGCTGTCTGAGGGCTCCGAGGCCTTGCGATGAGTTCCAGAGGAAGGGCCCGGTTGTGCGAACGAATGACGGTTCATGGTGTTGGGGTCCTGTGTTCTTTGAGGGTGTCTCGGTTTAGAGTTCGGGAGGCCGCTTCAGTGCTGCACGCTGCTATGCTGCAAGTTCGGCCCGAGTCCAACAATCTATGTCAGCTTGTCGACGTGCCACATAAGCACGATGACTGTGACAGCAAAAGTAGCAGCAGGAGCATGTCTGTTCGGACTTGCTGCCTTGGCGACTTCGGTCTTCGTACGGGACAGACCGACTAACCTCAACGTTGACATCTCTGGATTTTGGGACCAGACCGTTGTGCTTTCGATCTTATGGCGCCTCATTGCAGCCCCAGCGTCCACGGCATCAGCCCAGCGTGCCCAAGCTGCAGCATCACTGGCGACGGAATCCTCAAAACCTGGAGCTGAGGCTGAGAGGTTGAAACTGTCTGAATCTGAAGGGTTTCCCAGCGTGCAGAGTTTCACAGGGTTTTGTCCTGGACAGCTCTTCGGGGCTGTAAGGTTCTGTTCTCTGAAGATCTTGAATGAATTGCCGGACTCTCAGCGTCAGGGAGGTGTCTGTAGTCTATAGTGTGTGAAAATCAAGGCAGACCACCCAGGAAGAAGATCTTCCATGCGCGATGGCCGCAGCCAAATCAAGCCGGTCATGTGCAGCCAAGTGGTGCAGTAACCCTGGGACTCCGCACGGTCTGCGAGGAAGCCAAGCGAGATGCCATCCACGCTTACAGAGACAGCCTGGAGGTGACCGGTTGTGATAAATGCTTCTTCGAACACCATCGCCATCACAATCACCATCACCAACATCAGCCGCAGGTCCTAAATTGCCAAGCCCAAGCGCGCTCGGTGCAGGCCCTCCCATGGCGAGGCATTGGAACAGGATCGCCAAGACGCCGGGAGTGTCGGCACCTCGGCTTTGAGTAAAGCTTCTGCAGACGAAGAGGGGCTGCGGGGGCTCGAGCAGTTCAGGCAGTAGCACGCAGGCATGCAAAGCAGATTCCTCTTCGTTTGCTTTGCCCTGGAGGCAGAGGCTACGCCAGAGAGCCCTCTCAGGTTTGCGAGCCAGGAGTAACTTCACCCCAAGGCCCCTGGGCATCCAGAGGTGAAACAACTGGGCTCCGCCACCACCCTCAGCGGCACCTTCCTCTGCCTTTGCCAAGGCCGGGCAACGGCTTGTCGCTGCGGATTTTGGGGTTGGGCAAGAACTTTTCGTTTATCGGTATGCGCAGATGCAAGAAGAAATCTGAGATCCAGTAGCTGACGGTGAAGGCGGAATTGGCGGTTCGTCGCGTCGAAGTTGCAACAAGATCAGTAATTCTTCAACCACTATGCGCCGATAAAGCCTGGACCCTCAAGGCTCTGAATGTGCAGAGACCAAGGTTGTGCCCCTGGTTGCTTTGAAGTCTCAAGGTTGCGCGGAGGGTTGTGATGCCCGTTCCTTCAGCTATCGAGGATCTGTCGAGGATTGGCAGTCTTGTGGAAAGTCATGAACAAAGCGAGAGTAGCAACCAAACAAACACCGTAGAAACACCCATATTCGGAATGGTCGTGGCACCTCTAAACTACATATCGCGATTGTGGCAGAAGCCTCATGAAGAACAACAACAATGACGACATGTCCCTGAAAGAACCGATAGCAATAATGAGGTCATAAATGGGATGTACCATGTAGCACTTGCACTAGCAAGTTCGGAAGGAGAGTGACACCAAAAGGCATCATGCATACGCAAAGCCTGATACTAGTACAGTCTGACCATGGAGCAACGACAGCTTTCTTCAAATACCCTGCATATCCGGAAGGCTGGACCGCAGCCTCGCCATTCAATGTTCTCGCGCTTGATTGACGTTGGACCATCATCTGGCTGCAAGGCACTTCGATGCTTCGTGCCGAGCTCTCACAAGCGCCGTTCCCCCATGAAAGAAATCAAGCAGACGGCAGGACCCTTGCGGATGCTTGACAACTCACTCTGTGCATGAAAGCTCTTGAACTCGTGCAGGTCAACCTACCGACCGTGAAGTATCGGATTTCAATGGCTCGGGCCAGGATCATGTGCTGAGGGCTTAGGACCTGCTCTTTTGAAGGGTGTATGATCTAGTGCCTAGGGTTTGAGGCTTGAGGTTTCCTTTTAAGGGTTTTTGAAGCCAGCACGACTGCCTTCAGCTGCCATGACACAGCACAACACACGGACATCTTACGTAAGAAACCCAAGCTCCCGGGAAGTCCAGGCCGGCTTTACCCGCTGACTCTGGCCAGTTTGCTTCTTGTCGTGGGAGCTGTCGTTGAGGAGGTTCTCCAAGAGCAAACTAGAGACAAGAAGGCTCGAAATAGAACTACTCGCTTGATAGCTAGTCGTCATTCCCATCAAGAGAAGGAGTGGGAATGCAAAATGGTGCTACCAACGACGAACGGCGACGATGACTACGACGACGATGACGACGACTACTGCTTACTACATGGTGCAGTGATGACAGGGACGACGAAACCAAGACTGCTGCTACTGCTGCTGCCGCTGCTGCAACTCCGATTGTGCCTCGACTGGGACGGCGAATACGAGAGAAGGATAACGTGGAAACTAGGCATGAGACTCACAAATAGAACAGCACAAAGCAGCAACGTCTGGAAGCGACAAGTGCGTTCACCTGTCCAGGCGATGCGAAAGCACATTGGACAGGTCGATGTAGATCATGGACTAGCTACAGGCAGGGCTGGCTCGTGCTATTGATCATGGTGCTGGCAACTCCCAACAGCAACATTGCAACCATCATCATCGTCATCATCATCATCATCATCACAATCATCATCAGCTGCAGACGCACGTCCATCATCAGGACACTCGTTGTAGCCATCACCTCCATTCCCACTCATCAGCACGGCTGTCCTTCTGTCGTCATCATCATCTTCATCATCATCGTCTTCGTGATTACCATCGCAAGCAAAATTCATTCGCCGTCCTTGCGCCCATTAACATTCTTCTGGTTGTCACTCAAAACCCTCGTCCTTCCTCTCCTCATCATCACCATCATCACCGTCATCATCATCATCATATCATCGTCACCATCATCGTCAGCATCACTATCAGCGTTGCCACGGCGCTTGCAAGTAGGAAGATGTTTATCTGCTTGTGCTGCTTTAGACCAGCCGAAATTCAAACAGAATCGATAGGGCGAACCAGGCACCAGGGATTGGGTAGCTGCATGAGGCTGGGAAGGAAACAATCACAGCTCATTGCGAGAGAAAGCCCGAAGTCCTCCAAGTATTTCTCGTCGACCCCAAACAAATCGAAGCGGGAAATGCGGAGCAGGTCCTGCCAAACACTCCCTCGGTGCACGCGAGTAATCAAACGCCGAGGATAGAGAATCAGCATGGAAAATCAATGGGCACTCGGTGGACTGGCCTCTATCCAGTGCCCACGCAAGCATAACCGTGGCTTTGCTCTTGCATGTGGGCGCCTGCTACTGCTTTCGCATCCCTGGAGAGATTCAGTATAGTTGAATACGAACCGCGGATGCCGCCCCTCCAGTGCCTTTGTTGCACATCACTAACCCGAACCTTAACATAGTTCGAGTTCAATCCGAAACGCACTGGGCATTTGCATCCGCAGAAGAGTCGGTCCGCCAGCACGAAAGCCGTGGCATCCTTGGACCTTGCCATAAAGGATTTAGGCTTGGACGTTCTAGAACAGGAAACTCTCTGACAAGATCTCAACACGCTACAAGAAACCACAAGGCTTGAAAAGAACAGTTCCGCGACATTGGGATGGGAAAGCCGGGGCTGTAGGGAAGTCTCTGTTCTGCCTTCTGCTCAGGCTAAGATTTCCGAACAAGCGTTTACGTTGCTGATGATTGGGTTCCTTGGCTTGTGTCGGAGTCTACATGTATCCAAGACATCGCGCCGGACCGAGGAGTCAACACTCTGTTTACCACGCATGTCCAGCCGTGAGCTACGCTGTAGTGTGTTGCCATGTCCCCTCCAAGTTGAACAGGGCAACCAACCCCTGCCTGAACGCGATCTGGCCTTCAAGATGAAAACCTTCTTCAATCCAGCACCCGCGGCAAGTCTCCACTCAAACTTCAAATCATCCAGTGCAAGCTGGTACGGGGCTCGCGCTGTGACTCCGCGCCTGCCGCCGTGGACTTCTGAAACTGACTGTTGTAGCAGGCATACTCGTGATGGTTTGATGAAGAAAATGACGATGACTATGATGATGAATCTGGCGATGATGACGCTCCAGCAGCAGCTGCTGCTGCTCCTGATGATGGTGATGGTGCCAATGGCGATGGTGATGACAGTGACGATGAAGACCGCAGTGACGATACATGATGACGATGGGGTGCTGGTAGGCACTATCAATACAGAAAACAAGGTATTACGGGCTGGACCTTTCGAGCTCTTCGAGCTTCCGCCATGTATGCCTAGGCTCAGATTTTCAAAATTTACATGTTCCATGACACACGGTGTACTATCCTCGACATCGGGCTTCGCCATCGTCAACATCGTCACTACCGTCATCATCATCATCAGCAGCAGCAACTTTTCATCCTGCTGAAGGCAGTTAGTTGTTTGGTGGCGAAAAACGATCGTCTTGCTATTGGTTGTTGGCTGATGCCCGTCGTCATCCTCAAGATGGTGATCATGTTGATGGGGATGGTAAACAGTACGAGGAATGGAGAGCCACGTGCAGCCTTCGACTTCAGCACCCTGCGAGGATTCTTGCTCCTCCATGACCTGCGCCGATCTGCTGAGGCAGCTTAGCTGTGATCTAGAGTTATGCAATATCTGCAGCTGCAGCCAGAGTAAGCTATCCAGCTGCTGAGTACGGTGCACCTTGTAGCATTGCATAATTCGCTCTTTAGGAAGGAAAACTTCTCAGTTCACCTACTTGGCCGATGCTCTCGTTTGTCTGTGTTGGAATGTCTTTGGCTCAGTGCCGAAGTAATCGATTATGCTTCAAACCCCAACGAAACAAACAAGAGGAAGAAGAGACACAATACAACATCATGGTGAAAACCACATGGCGCTGCTGATGAGTCGAACAGCAATGGTCACAGTGATGTTAGTGATACTTGCACTCTCACAATGATGCTCATACTTGCGTGACGGCAACTTATTTGCCACGCGGCTGCTCAACATGATGGTGCTAAGTACAGCAGCCGAGTCCTTAGCGCCAAAGCAGAGGAAGATAGAGGAAGACTTCTAACAGAAGATGAAACAGGCATCGCCAGTCCATCAGCGTGACTCGGAAATCACACACGCAATAGTAACTATCAGCTCACCCCTGTTCACGACCGACGGACAATCGACAGCCAAACTCTGGCTGCCAACAGTGCCTGCTCCAGCAGGC